GTAACTAAAGTGCCTTCTCTCATCCTTGTATTCACCAGCTCTCTAATCAGAAAAACTTTGTTAGCTGCAGATGGCTTCTCGTACATATTAGACAGCGCTTCCATAATTCCCTTCGCTGTCTTCTCCTTCAGAATGTTGAACGCAACATTCTTGGTCAACGAGAGACGGATCACGGACATTGCTTTCCGATCCAAACCTGCCCAATCTGCATCCGACATCTTTTCTGGCTTGTCACCTAAAACCACGTCCAAATCTTTTTGAACCAGCAAATCTTCAATTTGCATCTTCCACCAACTGAAATCTGTACCATCGAACTTCTCAATTCGGAACTTCCCGTCTTCTGCCATCTCAAACGACTGGACGAGATACCCGGTACAAAAATTTCAGATCTTGGTAATTTTGTCAGAAAATCAGGTCCACCACACCAATTAATTTAGCCAAACCAAACTAAGCCCAAAAACACCAAAGAAGAAAATGACTGACCAATTTAAAAAACAAATTGGCCCACTACTTTTTTTTTCTTTTCTTTCTTGCGGCCCAGCCTATAGAATTGACCTCCACCTTTTTTTCTGGTGTTGCGCACGACGGCCGCAGGTGCAAACGGATCTTCACGAACAACTTCGACGGCGGCGGCGGCTTGGCCAATGAAACGGTGCGGCGGTCTCTCCTCTTCGCGCGGCTAGCGGCGGCAGGTCTATCAGAGCGACTCTCCCTCAGCGGCTCAGACCTTCGCGCTGCTATCGGCGGCGGCGATCTGGGAGCTCGACCGCGGCAACACGCAGCGGAGACGTCAGCGATCTTCCTCGCGGAGACGGCGGCAAGACCCAGCGGCGAGATCGACGGCGTTGCACCCTCTCTTGCTCCTGCCGCGGCGATCCAAGAGGTCGACAGTGGCGAGAGGTCAGACGACACCTGCTCGCGGACGGCGGTTAACGGCTGGACGGAGGGCGGCGTATCTACCTACTGCGCTAAGACGGCAGCGGTGCGGCTAAGACCTCCAAAACCCTAGGTGACAACTCACAATTTGTGCTCGTGTTGAACAATCTAGCTCTGATACCACTTGTAGGGAATTAAACACACAACACACACAAATATCTGCGAGAATCAAGAGAGAAACGGAACACAAACGACACACAAGAATTTAACGTGGTTCGGTTTCCCTAATCCACGGCTGCAACAGGAGGAATTTCTTATTTCACTTGTGGTACCGATTACAAGTACAAGTATGCAATATATATAGGAAGAGTGCATCTAGGGTTTCGTAACATGGGCCGGGCCAAAAGTCAAGCCCAAGCCTCCACAAACCCAACAAGTATAGCAGTACAAACAAAACCAAAAAATGACTCATTCCAAATGATCAACCCGGGATGGGGTTCCTCCTAGTATGACCTGGTGACCTTAGTAAAGCTTAGGCATAATCTTTTAAGCAATGCTAGAGGTACCTCAACACTCATCCAACCACACAATTATTATCAACACTTTGCATTTTAATTTACTGAAAGAAAAAAATTGTGGTGGAGAGATGTCTGGGTACACTTTGGTGAATGGCTCCTTGGTGTGCCATCCACAATGGAACCCGTTGTAATAGCTGCATTTTGGCATAATTTAGCAAAGTTTGGGACAAAAGGTTTTTGGACAACAACATAGTTTGGTAAGCCTTCCAACAGACTAGAAGGTCTATTTAGTGCAATTACAATTGCACCTACCTGGAATGTTGGAAGACTCAGTTGATCTAGAGCATTAGCAGGGGTAATATTGGAAGACCTAAGAGATGCATTAGCCAGAAGATTCCATTTTGGGTTACTATTGGAATCATTTTTCAGAATCAGCAAAGAGGAAATTGATCTTTTCCATTATTTTCCCACCTTTACGAAAAGCTGGTAATTAACATTTGTAGTCTTTGGAACAAAAACAGTTTTCGTATAGGAAATCTCGATCACTTGCCTCAGCTTGTGGGACAGAACTTGAATTAGGCACAAAAAAATTGGTCCAGCAACTTGAGAGGCATCAATAGAATTTGGTATCGCAATAACCTTAGGGGAAGAATCTATTCAGCCTCATTTGAGAGGAGTCAGCAATTAAAGCTTCTTCATCTCCAGGGACTGAATCAGAGCATTGGGCATATCATTTTCCTTTTCAGCAATAGATGAAACAACATTATCTGTATGTATATTAGAAACAGGTGTAGCATTCACATTTACAGTAGGTACATGAGCTTTAGTGTAACATCATTTGCAGAGGCCAAAACACTCCTAGCTTCCGTCACTGTCCCAATACATCTTCCTAAAGATTTGGAGGAGGCTGGGGGAGCACCCACTATCTCTCTTTAAACCATCCGGGTGTAGGTAGAACACTTCAATTTGCAGTTTTTGTGACCAAAAAATTCGGAAGGTCATCATAGTACATGGGCTGGAGAAGAGAGAATTGACCTAGATGGGATCCAAACGGCGAGCGTGGGAGCTTCTTGGTTACATCCAGTTCAACACAAACACGGAGCGAACATCCACCGCCTTCAGCAGTTGTTCCAAACAAGTGAACTGGTAAACCCTCCCAAGCTGGAAGGAAAGGAGATTGATTTCACCGTAGGGTGGGGTCCAACGGAACACATTAACACCGACCTAGGGTTTCGACCCTGTACTCAGCCATGGACGACGTCCAGAGATGCATTGGGAAGTCTCCAAATAGGACCGCTCAGTTTATCCCCAAATCCTCCACCGGACAACGCACACTTCAAATTGCAAGGCGCCTGAAAAATCACATAGGCAGGGGAACAGGAAACATGAAACAATCATGGTTAAAAGAATGAATCATATCGCATGAAAAAACTTTGTGCATCAAATTGTATAAAAGTAAGCTCAAATTTTTTTCCCAAAATCTTTTGTAAATAATTGATTGATCTAAAATTTCATTTCTTTTTGTACTCTGCTGCTTGAGGGAAAGAAACACAAAGTGTTTGGGAATTCGACAAGTATGTTTTATATGTACTTATTTGCTCCATATTTAATGTGTCATTGTCCAAATTTGGATCAAGCAAGACAACTTCTCATTTGTTTTTTAAGTTTTTGTTCATAATTTTAGAAGTGCACAAAAGTCATGTCTCTATCTTAAAAAGAATTAAAGTTGGGTCAAAATTGTTTAAAAGTATTGAAAAGTGAGAAATTGCAAAAAGGAATGGATTGGATCAAGTTTGGGCCTTTGGAAATGAAGAAATTGAGGAAAATGAGATTTTGGGCCAAAATCCAACCCAAAATGTCGGCCCATCAACGTAGCCCATCACAGCCGAGCACCCTGTCACGCAAAGGCTTGGAATGACGCTCGGTCCAAAAACCAGAAACCACCAACAAAAAAACTGTGGTCTGGAAACCGTGTGCCCAAAACCAGATAATCCAAGCGCCTAGTCAAGCTGAAGCTTAGAAGGGTGCCTAGATGAAAATATTCCTATTTGAGGAGGGCTCGCCCCTCATTTGTCATCAACCTCTCTCCGAGTCCTCTAAGGCATTCTAGGCCCCCTTCCTCAATTATATTTTAATATTTTAGTATGGTATTGTTTCAGTTCTCCCGAAGTGGCTCTAACTTTGCTCCAGTCATAAGTTTTAATATCTATAACTTTTAATAAAATAATTTCTTTTTCATGCACTGTTAATATTTAGTACGAGTTACAGTCCAGATTAGGGTCTGCGCTAAATTTAGGCATATACTCTGTATGTTTATTTAATAGTTGGAATTGAATTCACCAATTTCAATTCCATAGAATTGAAATATAGGACCATATATTTTTATTTCCCAATGTATGATCATTGATCATTATTCATTACTCATTATTCAAGTAAATGTCCACCATCACTGGACATTATTCCTCCGACTAGATATTATTAAGTCCTATTTAAAAAATAGAAAAATTTAAATTCTACATTAGAAAATGACTTATGTTTAAGTCATATTTAGTGTAAATTTTTCTTTATTTTATTCTAAATGCAATCTTGATATGTCTTGAATGACTCTAATGCACTAAGGTTGTTGTTGGTATGAATCTGAATACGTATACAGTGATGTTGTTGATAAATGAAGTAGGCTACTTAAACGAACTTTAGGACTCACCTAAGTGAATTGACAACATGTGTTGTTAAAATAGGTTGTAAGTCTTTGTACGTACATAATCCAAGAACTTTCATTTCGAAGGGGACACGGTATGGGAAACTCCTTCGTTGCTAAGGTCGTGTTGTATGGTGGTTGTGTCTATGTCTGTTATTAAATAGCCTTAGCCTAGAATAGGTTATGAACAATTATTAGAGATAAACTTGAGTAGAGACATAAGTGTGTTGTTGATAACTGAAGTAGTCAATTACTCAAAGTAAATGGCTCAATATGTGTATTGCCATGACATTATTGTTATTACTTGATGATGTTACGTGATTTTATCTATGCAAGGAATCTTATGAGTGATTATGTATTTTGAATTAATCTTATGTGTGACTTCTACTATCAGAATGTCTCACTTAGCTGAAAGTTGAGTGTGTACTTATTATTTTACTTACTACACGTAGGTAACATGAATTGTGGATAAGGAAATCATACTGGAGGGCAGTGAAAATCAGGAGATGGATAGATGCGAGCTGAGACTGAGGAGTTTATTTAACTAAATATTTCCGTGTGAAACTATTACTTTCTTTTCGGGCAAGAACCCAAACTTGTATTTTGAATTTTGTACTTAAGCTTCCGCACTGCTTAATATTACTCCGTTAGATATTTAAAAATAGTGAAATTTGCACTAAATAGGACTAAAACATAATGACTTAAACTTTTTTATTCCCTAAATAGTACTTAATAATGATTTAGTGGAAGAAATAATGTCCAGTAATGATGGACATTTACTTGAATAATGACTACTTGATAATGACTAAATATCCTACATTGGAAAATAAAAACATATAATCCTATATTGGAAAAGTCATTATGTTTTAGTCCTATTTAGGTAAATTTATCTAATCCGGTCCACTAGTCCATGAATTCGGGTTACGTGGGTTGGGAATTTTGAATGTTCTAAAACTAAATTTAAATAATTCTTCCGGACTTAAAAGATTGATACTTGATACAAAATGAAGTGAAATCCTCAATTTTTCAATTCTTTTGATTTAAAGTTCAGTATAGAAAAAAATATATCTTTCATATTCAAAAACGACATCAAAAGTTCTACAAAAATAATAGATGACAAAAATATTATGATTTATCAAATAATTAATGAAAACACACAACAAATTCAAGTTTCCATAATTTTTGAATAATGAATTGTGCTAATTTTTTTAAGGATAGAGAGTGTACTTTTTTAACACTAATGAGTCACTTATTACAAGTGATGTCTGTATCACATTTATAGGAATTGTTTTTGTGATATTGGCCGTGTTTGGAAAACGGCATTTTGGATAGCTTTTGGCATGTTTGACTGACTTCGGCTTTTTTGACTGAGTGAGTCGCCAAAACCATTGTTTGGCTAATGGCTTTTTCACTTGGCATTTTGATCCAAAAAGCTAAAATCTGAAATGCCAAGGAGAGTAGCTTTTAGACTTGGATGTTAGGAAAATTAATTTTTTTAAAATCATTTTTCTTGAAAAATATTTTACAATATTTGTAAAAACTAAAAATAAAAATAATAGTTAAAAAATTTAATGCTGAAAAAAATAAAATTTAGAATTTAAAAATTTCAAAAAAATGAAATGAGAAAATAAAAATTAAAAATCATTAAAAAAATTGTATATTAATAATTTCTTATGAATTAAATGAAAATAAAATTTAATACTCCATATAGTAAAGATTTAATTTTTACAGGTAAGAAAATGAAAAATAAATATCTTGTGTGTGTGTGTGTGTGTGTGTGTATATATATATATATATATATATATATATATATATATATATATATATATATATATATATATATATATATATATATATATATATATATATATATATATATATATATATATATATATATATATATATATATATATATATATATATATATATATATATATATATATGAAAAAACTATTTTCAAACAGCTAATTTTACCAAACAATTTTAACGATCAGCCAATCCATCATGCCGGTCAAACCAGCTGAACTAAATAGCCATTCACAACAGCTGGCATGAACTGCCAACAGCCAACAGCTGACAGCCAACATCCAAACAAGGCCAATATGCCTTTAACTTCTAATAGTAGTTTAATAGCATTAATACGTCATAAGTTTATTTTATTTTATTTTTAAAGCGTTCTGCATAAATATGTATAATATACAAAGTGCATAATCTTTGAAGGACTGATTTTTCTTTTGGGTTAGTTCTAGTCTTTAGACTATTTTTTTTATCAATCTCGGACCAGTTCAAGTGCTCTCTATGTCCTCTAATGGTCCCTCACGAGTCCAAGTCAAACTAATGACCAAGGAGTGTACTCCAAGTGTACCCCAAAAGTATGAATCAATACTTTAATGCTTTATATTGACATACAATTTGTGTGATTAAAAATTTGTGTACTACTCTGTAATATTTTAATGTCTAAATGAACCACGACACTAACATCAAATGAAGATGTAAACCAATAACAGATAAATTGATATACTCTCTCCGTACCAAATTATTTGCAACGTTTGCTTTTTCAGCAGTCGCGGGAACTTTTGTTTATTTCTACGTTTTTATTGGTTATTTAATAAAATATTCTTGACACCTCTTATTTCGAAGAACTTTTCATATAGTTTTTTTGATATGTAAATTTTATTTTTTTATTTCTATACCAATATGTAAATAAAATAAATTAAAAAAATTTGATATTTTATCTCGAGAATACAAGTGTGACAAATATTTGGGCACGAAGGAAGTACAATATTTGTTATGGAAGGGAAGTAGTTTACTTCTATAAAAAAGTCTAATAAATTTTCAGAATGGTCACGTGGCACCGAAATCTGCAAGCATCTGCACCGTAACTCCCGTTACCCTGAAGCCGTGGATCTCGAGGAGACTGCATTTACAACATTGCCCCCAGTCCAAGCCAGTAAAATGATCAAAAAGTTACTTTGAGCTACAGACAAACCGCACATCGTCATTTTCCCGTTTCACTCCCCCATCCCCATCCACAGTGATCCCCACCATCCCTCCGTGCTCTCTCTTTCAATCCACACCGCACAACCCCTTCTCTGCAAACTGCAAGCCCCACTGTTGCAGAACCCACCATCTCTCTCTCTCAATTATCTCTCGCCATTTTCTCACTCTCTCCTCAGACGCACAATCAAACAATTTTCATGGCCGGGCATACATTGAAGTAGTAGTAGTAGTAGAAGAAGAAGCTGATAGGGTGATTTTACGGTTATGGACTTGGACAGAGATAGAGATAGAGATAGACCCCCCTACCACAGGACTCCAAGCATAAATAGTGGCGGTACGACAGCCACTGGAGAGCTCCTGGTTTGTTTCGCTTCCCGTCTCCCTTCCTCTTCTTCCATGAAGCTCTCCAAATCTATACTCAGTCCGGGCCGGTCTCGCGACCCATCCGTTTCCCTCTCCACTTCCCTGAGCCGGCGTCTGAGGAGCAATGGCAGCATCAAGGCCGGCCAGGCCTCCCCGATGTTCCCCAAGAAGCGCGGCTCCGCTTTCGAGAATCCCGAGCCTTCTTCCCCGAAGGTCACTTGCATCGGCCAAGTCCGCGTGAAGACCAAGAAGAAGGTGAAGCACACCAGAAGCCTGTCGAACCGGAGGGGTGATTTGAGTTTCAGGAAATTAGATCAGGGGACGACGACGGAGGATGGGCCGCAGTCGCTCCCCTCTCTCCAAGGCCAGAGGAGTTCGAGCGTCCATTATCAGGAATGCGTGCCTCACAGGAACCAGAGGTGGGTTCACTTGCCTTTGACCATCTGCGAAGCTCTGAGGACGTTCGGGGCCGAGTTTAGCTGCCTGTTTCCGTGCCGGTCTTCCTGTTTCTCCCCCAACGAGAGGGATAAAGCGGGGAAAGAAAACGGATCTAAGGATGGCGGCAATGGTGAGCCGTCTAATGAACAGCAGCACAGATCTTGTGGCGCCGTGTTGGCTAGATGGCTGGTGGCCGTGCAGGAGGACGGGGAAGGAGAAAAGGAAAGGGAAATTGAACTCGTGGTTGCAGGAGGAGATGAGGGGGAGGAGGAGGAGAGAATTGGCGGTAGACCGAGCACGGCAATGCCGAGTTCGAGATCCAGAAGGCACGTTTTTGAAGATTTTGACCTCAAAGGGGAAACTTTTCAGGAACATAATGGTGAGGATGGAGAAACAGCAGTAGCTGAGGAAGAGAAAGCCCGGGTGAGTATTTGCATTCCCCCTAAGAATGCTCTCCTTTTGATGCGGTGTCGGTCCGATCCAATGAAAATGGCAGCTCTCACCAATCGGTTCTGGGAAACACCATCTGATTTCACCAAGAACGAAGACCCAAAGGGCGATGAAGACATCGCTGTCGAAGAACCAGAGGAATGTGAGCCTGAAGTTGAAGTGTTGGTGGTGAATGATGAGTGTGCTGAGGAATTGGCTGATGAATACAATGCTTCATCCTCTGTTGTGCCCAAAGAGGACCCGAATGAAGAAACACTGATGGCTGAAGAAGCACCTTGTTGCGAGAAAGATGAAACTCAAGTACATCCAGAGGAGGAGGCAAAGATGGAGACAGATGATCACAAGCAAAATGATGTAGAGTCAGCCTTGCCTGATTCTCACATTGGTCATCATCATCATCAATCAAGCATAGAAGATGTGAGTTCTCAGATAAATGATTATCGACCCGTAGGAACAGATGACCCGCTTTCATCAGAGCAAGAAGAAAAAGAAGAAAGCACCCCGCCCCCATCTTCTTCTTATTCACAAATTAACTCCCCAGGTCAACATTGTGAAGGAGACGATAAACTAGAGGCATCCATTCAAGAACTTACTGAAGAAACCAACATACCCGAATTTGGAGAAGCTGCAGATGAGGCAATAGCGGAGGAGCCAGATGCTGAGATTGAGAAGGAAGCATTGAAGAGAGTAGTGGAAGAACAAGAGAAGGATGAGGAGGAAAATGTAACAAAATTGTCCAAGAAAGATGCTCTGCCAGACTGTTTACTGCTAATGATGTGTGAACCCAAGCTATCCATGGAGGTCTCCAAGGAGACATGGGTCTGCAGCACGGATTTCGTCAGGTGTATGCCGGAGAGGCCGCCACAAGCCAAAGCTCGCAAAAAAGACACTACTGTTTATAGACGTCCTCATTGTCCGTCGTCGGGAACGCAGCAGCAGGACAGGAGCCGCCAGCTGCTGCTTCAGCCGGCGAGGAGGTCATCGTGTTCGCTGCCGCCGAGGTCGTCGGTTTCCGGCGGGTCAATGGCGAGTTTGATCGAGCAGAAGCTGGTCAACGCGATGGCGTATGAGCCGTTTGTGCTGACAAGGTGCAAGTCCGAGCCGATGAGGACAGCGGCGGCCAAGCTGGCGCCGGAGCCTTGTTTCTGGAAGGACAGGAAGCTGCTGGAGCCGCATCGTCGCGCCACCTTCGGCTTCGGGGCTGCCGGTGTCGGCTTCTGACCCATCTTAGCTGTCAAATAAAACCTAAACGTCGTGTGCTTTGTCCTCGTCCACGGCACGCCTGTAAAATTTTCAAGATTTATTATTATTATTAGTGGAATTATTTTTGTTGTTGTTTATGACTGTATTATTATTATTGTTGTTATTTTTCTTCTTCTTATTATTCATATTTTTCGTATTATCTGCGAATTCGGAGGAGTTATAGTACTTTAATTTTTTTTGGATTACTCTCTCCCTTAGCTTCCATATTCAAGAATCATTATTGGTTTTGGAGGGACTATTTTGTTTTCACTTCTCATTACACATATTTCCACCCGTTAGTCTTATTTTGGTCTTAGCTTTTAGTCTTATTTTGGTCGTACCTTTGACCATTCTGTCACCTGTATGTAGGCTGGCTCACAATTGGTGTTGTACTGTCCTTTTTGTTTCTTCAATTTGGGGAAAAAGTTGAGAGTGGGTGTGTTTTGAGAGCTTAAAATATTTTGGGTCGTTAATAATGAAGTTTACACACTCTTGTTTCTCTTTTCTGGGGTGGTTGTAATGATAATTTTATGGGGCTAGGTTTAGATCCAATAAAACCAACAACCATTACAAATGGATGATATGACATTGGGTTTTCATTAAAACTACTCCCTCCGTCCCCCTGTATTTGTCAATTTTCATTTTTGCACACCATTCAATGCACTTCTTTAATCCATTTTATCTTGTAATTTGTATATTAAAAAATTATAAAAATTATATATTAATAATCTATATGTTAAGACAAATCAAACAAGATCACACATGACTATATTTAGGCTTACACATTGAGAGAATTTGATGAGTCAAAGTGCTTAGATGAACAGTTCCAAAAGTCAAATGTGGACAAATAAAGGGGGACGGAGGAGTATATCTTTATTGTGGAGCGTTGCACAGTTAACAAACACAAGAAATTATGTTAAGAGGTAACAATCGAATTCGATTTCTGTCAATTACAGAGGGAGTATATAGTTTCTACAAGTATCAACTACGAATTTCACTCTTTGCTACCAATTTACAATCAAGTTTCAATTTATCTTTTCTTAGTAACTGCACTGCTTGTTCTGAAGGGGCCTTCGGGGATAGGCTCATCCTTTTTTTCATTTTTTTAAACACTGGTTCTTCAAAATAAGAGTTGAATTTTAGATTTAATTATAGTCCCCACATATCATCCCACATATCATCACATACCCTTTTTTTGGTAATTTTGTTATTATATACTCCATACACACACACACATATATAACTTAATTATATATAATAATTTATTTATTTTTTCAATTAAATATAGATACCTTGTTGAAGTTGGTGTTATATGTTTATTGTTTTAAAACTGAGTTTAAAAGGTTTGTGGGGTTGGATGTGGTACTCAGGTTGTGGTGTTAAAATTAATTTTTAAATTTTACCATTAGGCAATATGTAGTACCCCACTAATGCTCACTCCAAATCAACAACAATTTAATGTCAAATCTGCATCAACTCTACCCATCATCCCACTCACTTCACACCTGTAGTACCTCACCATAAATGCAATATTTTCACTTTTATTCTTTATAAATAATTACTTATTCATATTCAAATTAAATTCTATCATTTATAAAATAACAATACAAAATAATAAAAATTTATTTCGTGATTATTATTTTATTATTTTATTATTTTATTATTTTATTATTTTATTTTTTTGTTTTTAATTTTACTTTTTTATAGCATAAGAGCACGTTATTGGTATTGTTGGATAGATATCCGACAGTATATTATTTAGGAATAATTACCCAAAATAATCCCAACTTTACCCGGTCTTTCAAAAATAATCCCACCTTTCACTGTGATGCATAATAATCCCAACTTTACTGAAATTTGTCAGTTTTGGGTCGCCGTTAAGTTTCTAACAGAGGGTTAACGGAAATGCCCATTTTAGGCAACAAAATGAAAGTTGGGATTATATTTGATGAATTTTCATTTTTTTTATTTTTTTAAAATTTTTCATTTAAATTTTTTAAATTACTTTCTACCTCCATCGTCATTTCTTTTTCCTTTTTTAAAGATTAGTCTTAGTTTAAAAAATAAAAATAATAGATATAAAAAATGAAAAAATGAGAAATGTAACTAAAATGATACAAAAATAATAAAACAAATAAGGTAATCAATGGAAACTAACTTGAAATTGGTAAAAGTAAAATAAAAATATACGGGTGGGTTTTAATATTTTACGCATTATACAAAGTATTANTACTTTCTACCTCCATCGTCATTTCTTTTTCCTTTTTTAAAGATTAGTCTTAGTTTAAAAAATAAAAATAATAGATATAAAAAATGAAAAAATGAGAAATGTAACTAAAATGATACAAAAATAATAAAACAAATAAGGTAATCAATGGAAACTAACTTGAAATTGGTAAAAGTAAAATAAAAATATACGGGTGGGTTTTAATATTTTACGCATTATACAAAGTATTAACATATCACTTTTTATTTTTTAGAAAAAATTATCTAAAATAATTCCAACTTTACCGGACGGCTTGTTCTTTTAAAAAATAAGTACTCCCTTCGTCCCGCTATATTCGTCCACTTTTGACTTTTGGAACTGTTCATGTAAGCACTTTGACTCATCAAATTCTCTCAATGTGTAAGCCTAAATATAGTCATGTGTGATTTTGTTTGATTTGTCTTAGCATATAGATTATTAATATATAATTTCTATAATTATTTAATATACAAATTACTCCGTACAAGATAAAATGGATTAAAGAAGTGTATTGAATGATGTGTAAAAATGAAAGTGGACAAATACTATGGGACGGAGGGAGTACAAGATAAAATGGATTAAAGAAGTGTATTGGATGGTGTGTAAAAATGAAAGTGGACAAATACTCTGAGACGGAAGAAGTAGTACATTAAGACTCCGTATAGTGTGTAAAATGTTAAAACCCACCACTCCGTATATATTTATTTTATTTCTTACCAGTTTCTGTTTAATTTCTATTGATTACATTATTTATTTGATTAATTTTGTATGGTTTTAGTTATTTTTCTCATTTTCATTATTTTTTATATCTATTTTTTTCTAAGGTAAAAATAATCTTTAAAAAAGAAAAAGAAATTGAGGTTGAAAGTAATTCAAAAATTTTAAATAAAAATTTCAAAAAAAATAAAAAAAAAATGAAAATTCATCAAAAATAATCCCAACTTTCATTTTGTTGCCTAAAATGAGCATTTCCGTTAACCCTCCGTTAGAAACTTAACGGCGACCCAAAACTGGAAAATTTCAATAAAGTTGGGATTATTATGCATCACAGTGAAAGGTGGGATTATTTTTGAAAGACCGGGTAAAGTTTGGATTATTTTGGGTAATTTTTCCTATTATTTATCAAATAATAATAACTTGCGTATAAAAAATTATAAAGAAAATAGAAGTTGTAGTATAAAATATAAACGAAATAATTTTATACTCGTATTATTAAATAAAAAGAAAATAACTCTCTTTTGTGGAACACCCATGGAAACACATCCCTCTAGTTTCTTCCGTATGTGAGTGTGGCACTGTGGTTATAATGTCCACTCACGCTGGTCAATCACGGAAGGGAGGGGGTGTTCATAGGGATCACTTGGGATGTATCAAAGCAACCTCAGCTCACGCAGCATCAAGTGTGATCATTACACATAGCCTTACAACCACCACTCTTAGAGCATCGGAAATACCAGTAACGTCGGGGGGCGCCATGGGACGCTTAATGCCACTTCGGCGTTAAACACCGCCCCCCTAAGGGTGTTACTCCAGCGTCATAGCCATGCGTCAAAGGCTTAACACCGAAGTCCCCCACCCCCCAACGGCAAATTTAGCCTTTACATATTTTAAAAAAGATTCTTTAATTATTTTTTTATAAATATCAAATCCAATCTTCAATCTTCTTCACATCTTTCATTTCTTCAATCTCCAATTCTCAATCTTCTTCACACCTTTCATTTCTTGAACTTTTGTTAACATGAATCCCTCTGGCTCCGATTTTTCCCCTGGCTATCTCGAGCCAAACGAGTACGCCATGTGGATCTTCCAACAATACGGGAGCAATTCGATGATGTTCGAAACACAACCATTGGTGAAACTGGATGAGGCGGAGTCGGTTCCGGAGACTCAACCAGAACCATCTGGAATAAAAAAAGAGAACTACGGAAGAGTCACATAGCAAAAGGCACTCAACCGATGACGGAGGCGGCACGGTCAATCCAAAACTGGACACTAAAGTATAAACTTGGTATTCGTAGACATTCCAAATATTTCAAACATTTAAAACTTTATTTAATAATAAATAATTCAAAATAGTAACGGAGTAATTTAATGTTGCGGAAGCTTAAATAAAAACATAAATACAAACATAATTAATTTATGTCTTTTCAAAGAGTATTCCAAATCCAAAACACACATCCACCCGACCATCTTGTCCCATCTGCCTCCAGGAAATCATTGCTTCATACTTTTTGTTTACCTGCGTGTAGCAAATAAAACATACTACACGCTCAGCGTTGAAGCTGAGTAACCAAATCTAATGCATCGAACATCCATATAAACTGAATCTAAATTCATAATCAAATCATTTGATATCATGCACATAATGTTTGGTTTAGATATTCAATAATCATTAGTTAATAGTCATCATTCATTATACAACATTTATATTCACATTCAACATTCATCATTCTTTCATAATATTTACAATATGCAATTCAATAAGCATCATTCAACATTCATTCATATTCAATATTCAACATTCGACAATATCCTTAAATTGTTCTTAGTCTAAGGCCAATCACTTTAATGTTTAGCAACCCTTAAACGAATTCTAGTTTAAATAATTAAACTATATTCCAATATAAAGTACTTCTAAATAATCCTTAAGCTAGGCCTTGTTTAAGATAAAAGGGTTTTGAAATCTTAAACTTACCTTCACTTAAGGCCAACCAAAAACCGAAAGTGTACTGTTCACTGTTGGGTGGGTGGTACCCATGCCACAAACGAG